AGATCGATCGAAAAGAATAACTTAGTGTTATTTTAGTACGAACTCTTGATAGATCGATCAGAAAGAATAACTTGGTGTTATACGAACTCTTGGATATATCGATCGGAAATAATATCTACAAACAATTTCTTCTTATATTCTCCGCTAGATACGAACTTTGGAGTGATTCTTCATCGCATGTTGAGGGATGGTTATATGATCCAATTAGATTAGCATTGTTGAGAGATTGCACTAGCGAAAGTACGGACCCTATGCCTCATTTTCAAGCATTGCAATACCGTTTTTGCTCCATTTTATCAATTGCTACCTTGCTGTTATTTATTGTTCTTACTACAAAAACCAATATCTACTATCCATATTATACTTGTATCGCCATCTCTTCACCGAACTAGTGCACCTATATAAATTACCATTGTATTTGGTGTGTTGAGGATACAAGAGACTTTTTATTATTTGGTTGCAGGGTTGTTTGAGAGAGACCATCTTTATCCTACACCTCCCATGGATTGATAAACCTTAAGTCACCCACTTGAGGGAAAATTGCTACTGCGCTACAAAACTATGTGCTTGGAGGCGCAACACGAGTCTACAAGAATAAAGTTGCGTACTAGACATCACGCATGCGCTCCATGGCGCTTCCAGGTGGGTTGTGCCCACCTGGTGGGCCCCCTCTGATAGTTATTTGCTCCAATATTCTTTTATATATTTCAAAACAATTCTCCACAAATTTTCAGCTCATTTGGAGATGTGCGGAATAGGTGACTCTGACGTAGCTTTTCCAGGTCCAGAATTCCATCTGCCGGAATTCTCCCTCTTTGTGTAAACCTTGCATATTATGAGAGAAAATGCATTAGAATTACTCCATAAAGCATTATTATGCATAAAAACATTATAAATAACAATAGGAAAACATAATGTAAAATAGACGTGTCAACTCTCTCAAGTTTATACCTCGCTTTTACTCAAGAGAAACCGATATCGAAAAACATGTCCACATGCTTAGAGAGAGAAAGGTATCGATAAAAACAAAATACGTTTGATTAGCTTAACTTTTGTTGCTAATCTAAATGGCCGATACACAATTATCGCTCTAAGAAATAAAATGGCCAATATATACTTATCGTCAAAAGCACGTACAAAATGGCCGATGTAGTGTTGACATCGTGCTTAGAACAAACTCCGTGTAAGTTATTTTTCGGCACACAAGTTTGGCTGAAAAACAGGGGGTATGTGTTGACACCAGATTTGGGTACGGTCAACAACTTAATTAAAGTGGCTTCAAATGAAGAAGTGATGTACATGAAAAAGTTTCGTATTATCAAGGTGAATATATTTGAAGTTTGGGTCATCATCATCTGATCCCATCTCGAGGGCCGAACTATGCTCAAAGCACTGAGATTTTATATCCAGAGGACGGTTCGGCCGATTACGGCTCAAGGGAAGCCTCAAACGAGAAAACTTTCTACATGAATTGTCTTCGTCTCGTCGAAACAATTGATTTTGATATAAAAATCGTCTTAATCCAAGTTCGTATGCAAAAGTTATAGCCATCAGAGTGCGGCTCTACCACGACTCCACGAGGCAAAATATGGCGCGAGGGAGCACACAAACGCCTCATTAATGTTTGATGGGTCGCGCAAGCTGTTCGGCCCTCAATACGGCTCTGAATCGAAAAACGTTCAACACAAAAGTTGTTCGTCTCGTCGAAATGGCCAAATTTTCTTTTGGCTCATCTTCATCCGAGGTTGTTTGTGGCCTGTAGGATCTAAAAACCGAGTTGTTGTTCCAGACTCACCTAAATCCGAATTCGGTTAATTTTGAAAAGATTTGGAAGTGATTTGGAATCCTTTTTTTACAAGATGTCCAGCCGTCTCATAAATCGATGAGAGGTGATGCCGATTGAACAACCCACAATCGATCAATTCACCTACCTCTTTTTACCTTTACTTTTATCTTTTCCCTTTGTTCTTCTTCTTCCTCGTTCTTTGTTCATTCTTCTTGTTGCAGAGCGGCGAACCTCGAGGCCCTAGGGGCGGTCAGGCCGACCTAGTGTAGCCCATAGCCGCTGCGCGTCCTGACGGGGTCCCTCCCGAGCGTGTGGGTTTTGGATCTACAAAAGCGCCTGCCGGATTGCTTGTGTACCGCGTTTCCGGCCGGGTCTCCTTCAACGTGAGCTGCGGTGCACCATCTTCGGTGTTGGAGGTACACGGTGACGTGTTCGTGTGTCAACACGAAGGTTTGAGTTTGACTCACGGCGACGTAGGGGGCAAAGGTCCAGTGCATGCCGGTGGCATGAACCTCGAGCGTTGTTGCCTCGCCGATCTTTCACACGAGAGCTCCTATACGCCGCCCGTGAGCATCCGAGTGACGCGGCTTCGCTGAAGCGAAGCGCAAACGGGCCGGCCCAATAAGCACGCGTCGAGTAAAAATTCAAAATTGAGGCGCACAAGTTGGGATCGAACTGCGGACCTCATTCTGGATCCAAGGGAGCCAACCAGCCGAGTTAGCTACCTACAACGATAAAATTGCAGTGCTTGTCTTAAAGTATAAAAGGCAGCGGCAAATCATGTTATTTTTTAAAATAAAATATTTTTATAATATGCGTTGAACAAACTTTAAAATATAGAGAACTTTTTTAAAACAAACACTTGAAAATTTTAAAATACACAACTGAACATTTTGTAGTATACGTTGAACAAATTTTTTATATATGATGAACAAATTTTAAATATGCAATGAACTTTTTTAATATATGTTGAACAATTTCATAATATACTATGAACATTTTTGTAACACACGATGAACAATTTTAGAATGCAAGATGCACTATTTCATAATATACGATGAACATTTTCCTAATATCATGAAGAAAACAACTGTAAACCAGGCAAAACAGCGAAAACACTGGAAGAAAAATCGTAGAAGAAAAACGAAAAAAACCCCGCAAGAAATAGAGAAGGAAGCGGCAGCAACGCATCGAACAGTAAACGCTAATCCCGTACATGGGCCGGCCCAACCGATGGCTCCCTGAGCGAAAGCAGAACATTCTAACGCTAACCAGCGTCAAATAGGGTTTGTCCTTTCGCACAAGCTCCGGGTCCCTGCAGGAAATGAATGGAGCATGTATGTAGGGCGTGGTCAACGTAGTAAACGTACAAAAAGCTACTATATTGCTCAACGTGGTCGATCGGTATGTAATGTGCCTGGAGGCTCCGAGGCCGACGTTGTGGGGGAAGATGGTGGCGCCGATGACATTGTTGTTGTCGTGGACGGCATTGATGCCGTAGATGATGGGGACGCCGAGGCGGGACGAGAGGGCGAGGCGCTGCATGCCGTCGACCATACCAGCCCAGTCGGACGGGGATGCGCGTTCCCGGGGCGGACTGCCGCCGCCGTTGAGGAGGCTGCTGACGCCGAGCTCCGTGAGGGCGCGGGGCAACGCCACAAAGAGCTCGATCTGGGCCATCTGGCATGCCTTCTCCTCCAGCATCATGCAGACCAGCAGGTCAGGCACGCGCGCCTCCACCGGCGCCGACGTGTCCTTATACAGCGGACGCTCTTTGCCTAGGCCTTGCGCTGCGGCCATGCCGGCCGATGACGGTGAGCACAAGTCAGAGTATTGCTTTTGTTCTGGCCACATAGGAATTTCTACAAAAAATTTCACAATATTCAAAAAATGTTCGAGAAGAGCAAGCGGTCGTGCCGGAGTAGCTATCGGGCATGACTAGAAACCATGTGGGCTTTGCCCGCGCAGGTACGGATCTTGCCGACCACGCCCTTTTTTTCTTCTAAAATATGTTCGAGAATTTAGAAAAATGCTCCGAAATTATAAAAAATGTTTACAAAATTCAAATATTTTTGTTGTTTCAAGAAGTATTAAGTAACTCAAAAAAGTTTGTCTAGAAGAAAAAATGTTCATGAATTTCAAAATTAGTTCTCAAATTTCAAAAAATGGTTACGTGTTACAAAAAATATATGCAATTTCAAAAAATATTCGTGAATTTGAAAAATGTTCATGATTTTAAAAATATCATTAATTAAAAAATGTTCATGATTTCAAAAAATCAATCATGATTTAAAAAAATATTGATGATTTTAAAAATGTTCATGAATTTGCGAAGAAGTTCACTTGTCCCAAAAATGTTAGATATTTTTTATAAAATGTTCTGCAATTAAAACAAAATTCACGAATTTGTAAAAAAAATGTTCACAGATTTGAAAATATTCCTGATTTTGAAAAATGTTCAGCAGTGCAAATATAATGTTTTCAATCTGAGAAAATATGTTTGCAAATTTGAAAGATGGACAAACAAAAAAATAAAAGGAAGAAATAAAGAAAGAATGAAAAAAAAAGAGAAAAAGGAAAGCAGAGCAGTCACGAACAATGAAAAAAAGAAGGAAAAGGACAAAGAAATTAAAAAAACCGGAAGAAAAAACAAGAAAACCGTTTCTTGGAAGATTCTAGAACCTTCACCAAACCTCGGGCCAGCTGGCTTTTTGGCAACCTACGCGTCAAATAGGAGTGGCCTTGAATTTGTTTTGAGAAAAAGATGTAAATTCACTTTTGTTTGGGCAACGCGGCGAACCATGGGCCCGAAATCAATTCAGCTCGCCTCCAATCCGAGCTCGATTGATTTCGACTCCCACTCGTCGTCATCGACCGGAGCCGAAATAGAACGGAATTAAAAGCTTCGGCCTTTATAATGCCCAGACAACATCTGTTCCAGCGTCCCCCAAATTGGAAGCTAGGTTTCCTCGATCAAATTCTCCCCAATTTTGGCGGCGAGGTCGGTTAGTCGAGGCGAACCGCGGGAGATCGACGGCCGGCGAGGAAGTAGCGGCGCACCACCAGACGCATGGCGGCGAAGGCAGCTGTGACCGCCGGCGATGTGTGTGTGCTGAAGCGGTGCCAGCAGCATGGCGGTCAAGATCTGAAGGAGAAGAAGGGAACCAAAAGGAAAGCAGAGGAGGCACCAGAAGGCGACGAATCTCCACTGGAGGTCTGCTCCATCAGAAGGAAAACAGCCGGGATCGACTGCTCTGAGTTGGGGCAGGGAGCCACACCGGCGACGGCGGCGGCAGCCAGGCGCGAGGAGGCTCCGGAGAGAAAGATGACGAGGCTGCCGCAGGAGGAGGTGGATTCCATCCTAACCAAGGAGATGGATGACGACTCTCTCCCTCCCGAGTACAAGGCCCTGAAGCGCCACAACCCTGCCCTGATTCCTTCGCCGGAAGAGGAGATGGACGAGGACGTGGTGAGCTTCTACAACGTCGTGCGCTTTTTCTACGAGATTGGAGAGGATTTCAGGGAATTCCAGGCCTGGGTCCGCACCGAGTACGCCAAGAATGGCTACGTCGAGGTGGATGATGAGTACCTGCGCCATCAACAGGAGATGGAAGCAATGAACGAAGCAGCACGCAAGGAGGCACTCAAAGCCTTCGATTTTTCAGACTTGCTCGACTTCTGATTTGGTGCAGCATCAGCCTGTGATGATTGTAGATGGAGTTCATTTTCTCCAGTATTATCATCCAACGACTGTATTATGCAACCAATGTAATAAGAACTCACTTTGTCGAGTATTCAATTCTCTTCTTACAAATCAGAAGGCAAAAGGGTGAGATTGTTTCAAATTCAGGAGTTAAGTAGAAACTGAAGCGTATCATGTTAAAAGGGAGGCTAATGACACCGTATTATGCGGCCAAATTAGCTTCTCCGGCTAATGTTGTAAAGACCTGGATGTATCAGGTTCCTCAACCTTTGTATGACTGTGTTCAGCTTGACACTCATGCCGACAAGAGTAATACTGATTGCTAATTCTTAAATAAAATAAACACAAACATTGAAATCTTTTAGAGTTCAAGAGCAATTGTGAGTATAGTGAAAATAAACTATTAAGAAGGAGATCAGCAAAGAAGGTAATGGCAAAATTACTGAATCATAGGAGTTGTCAGTAGTTTTGCCTTTATACTCCATATTAATCCGTTATTTTGGGTAATTAACTAAACTCCTGTAACTTTACTGAATCATCATAGAAGTTGTCTTTGCCAACCCGAGTATTGCTTTACAACAATTCGATGGCCTGTGTATTTGTGTAGCGTTCTGCAGATTCATACGGCTCTAAATGCTCTTCTGTAACTGATGACTCAAAATGATTGTACATTGAAACTGAAGCCTTTGAAAACTGAAACAGAAACCTTACGTGAGAGCAGGCAGAGGCGCGGAGTCAACGGTTATGCTCTTGGACAATATTCTGCAGGTTAAACAACATTCATTAAGCACCCTTGTTTGGTGGTATTTTCTCTGTAGCATCCCACTGTATCTTCAGTAAGCCTGTCCAATTTCAGGAGCTTGTGGGGGACCAGATTCTGCATTAATATTGGATTTACATGCAGCAGGGATGAGGGATTTGTCAGATAGTTATTACTTTATCATGCTTACTTGGAGCACTAAAATTCGTTCGGTGTAAGCAAACTTGTGTTGAAAACCTCAGGTCTTTCTTTTGTACGTAAAATACAAGGGTGTGCCATACATTGTACTCTCCTACCTCCATCTCTCTCAGGATTTACATCTTTACCCATGATACTAGAATGCTCTCTGCTCTGTCTACCTTCATCATTTCTCTAGCATGATGTTAGGTTTTGCTGCTAACATTTGACATCGCCGCTAATCAATTTGGATTCCATATCTTTTTCGAGGTACTCCACTTCTCATGCGGAGACAGTGGCCTATTGTTAACTTGTGTCTTCAAACAATTATTGTTTAGCTAAATTGTTTTGAAAACCTCAGCTCTTTCTTTTGTACGTAAGATACAAGGGTGTGCCATACATTGTACTCTCTTACCTCCATCTCTCTCAGGATTTACATCTTTACCCATGATACTAGAATGCTCTCTGCTCTGTCTACCTTCATCATTTCTCTAGCATGATGTTAGGTTTTGCTGCAACATTTGACATCGCCTTGTAAACAGGTTACGGCCCATCTTGGATGAGATCATTTCTGAGACCCAGAGGGCTTTCATTCCGGGTAGACTGATAACAGATAACGCCATCATTGCGTTCGAGTGTTTCCACAAGATCCAACACTGTCGGAGTGAGAGAGACAATTACTGTGCATATAAACTTGATCTTGCAAAGGCGTACGACAGGGTTGACTGGAGTTTTATGGAAGGTGTTCTACGGAAATCAGGTTTTTGCAAAATATGGACTGACTGGGTGATGCAATGTGTTCGATCTGTTAGATATTCGGTGAGATGCAATCGTGAGCTCCTAGAACCATTCTGCCCATCTAGGGGCCTGAGGCAAGGGGATCCACTAAGTCCATACCTTTTTCTTTTTGTGGCTGATGGCTTGGTGCATTTGCTGAAAAAGGAAATGGCAGAGAACAAGATTACGCCCATTAAGGTTGCAAGAAATAGCCCGGGGATTTCAAATCTCCTGTTTGCTGACGACAGTTTAATTTTCTTTAAGGCCATCCCGGAGCAAGCGAAAGCTATCAAGAGAGTTCTTGCCTCTTTCCAAAAGTGTACAGGGCAGCTTCTAAGTGCTAGCAAGTGCTCGATTCTATTTAGTGAAGCATGCCCAACCCAAACAAGAGAGGACATAAAAACCATTCTCAGAGTGCAATCAGAAACTTTTGAAAGTAAGTACCTGGGTCTGCCCACCCCGGAAGGAAGAATGAAGGAAGAACAATTCCAACCGATCATGGATAGATTTCGGAAAAGATGCAGTGATTGGAGCGAGAAATTTATGTCTTATGCAGCCAAGGAGGTTCATGTTAAGTCGGTTGTCCAGGCCCTTCCAACATTCACCATGAGTGTTTTTATGCTCTCAAAAGGCTTCTGTGAAAAATATGAAAGAATGATCAGAAAGTTTTGGTGGGGAGAGGATGAGGGACACAGGAAGGTCCACTGGATGTCATGGGAACGGATGACAAAGCCTAAAAGAGCGAGAGGCATCGGATTCAGAGATATGCACCTGTTTAATCAAGCACTGCTGGCCAAACAGGGTTGGCGACTAATTCAAAACCCAGATAGCCTATGTGCAAGAGTTCTTAAAAGCAAATATTACCCGCAAGGGAATCTCCTGGACACAGTCTTTGCGAAGGATGCGTCTCCTGTTTGGAGAGCAATACAGTTTGGGCTTGAGCTGCTCAAAAAGGGCGTAATCTGGAGGGTGGGGAATGGAAAGAACATCCAAATCCAACGGGATCAATGGATCCCAAGGAGGGAGGGCCTCATGACAGCAACTTTCATTAGGAGGTCTCGGATCCGATGGGTTAACCAACTAATGCACTCTGACAGGAAGGAATGGAACGAGGAGCTAGTTAGACAAATCTTCTACCCTTTCGATGCAGATGAGATTTGTAAAATCCGAATTCCATCCTCGGATGTGGAAGATCGGATTGCTTGGCACTATGAGAAAAGTGGTGAATTTTCAGTAAGAAGTGCCTATAAACTTGCAGCGGCAAGCCTTCCCCAACTAGCTCAAAACCCCTCAAGCTCGTCTTCAGACCCGAACGATCGTATCATATGGGATCTCATTTGGAAAGCAAAAGTGCCGGGTAAAGTACGTATATTCGGGTGGAGGGTGGCTACAAATACCCTTGCTACTAAGGAAAACAAGTGGAAAAGAACACTTGAACTAGACGCTACCTGCAACATTTGTGGAAATGTGACTGAAACTGAACATCACGCGGTGGTCATGTGCACAAAAAGCAGAGCATTGAGGGAAGCCATGAGGAAGGTATGGAATCTGCCTAATGAAAACAGATTTTGGTACACAAGTGAGAACTGGCTACAAACTGTGCTACATACAGAAAATGAGGAAATGCGCGCCAAAATCCTGCTGTTGTTCTGGAGGTGCTGGCATATGAGAGAAGACTGTATCCGAAATAATGGCAGGGAATCAATCTGTGGCTCAGTACAATTCCTGAAGCAGTATGAGGAGGAGTTGAAAAATGCAGAGATGAAAGATGTTTGGTCGGGTGGAAAAGATGCAGCATCAGTTCATGGTACTAGCGCCTAGGTTGATGCACTCCCTGGAAGTGCTGCTGCAGGCGCCGATGGTAAATGGATCCCGCCAATTAGAGGGGTGGTAAAAGTGAACACCGACGCTGCCTTTCGAGCCGATATCGGGGAAAGCGCTGCTGGAGCTGTTGGCCGAGACTACCGAGGCTCAGTCCTCATGTCTATCTGCAAGCGGCTGCCTCAATGCCACACTGCGGAAGAGGCTGAAGCCCGAGCCATTCTGGTCGGCTTGCAGGCCATATCCGGTCTGTTTAATGGTCAAGTGATCCTAGAAACAGATAACCAATGATTAACCAAAGAACTGATGGCTCAAAATCCCACACGATCTCCTCAGTATGGCCTAATCATGGACATAAAACGGGCTATAGCGTCGTTCTCTGGCTGCAGCATTCAGTATGCACAAAGAAACAGGAACTTCTTGGCCCATGGCCTGGCTGCTTTGACCAGGAGTTCAGGAGAGCAAGTGCTGATCGCCGACGTTCCGACTAGCCTTCGTTCCATCATGCTCTCTAAATGTATTGCCCCATTTGAGTAGGCTGCCTACTCAGTCTCAAAAAAAAACATTTGACATCGCCGCTAATCAATTTGGATTCCATATCTTTTTCGAGGTACTCCACTTCTCATGCGGAGACAGTGGCCTATTGTTAACTTGTGTCTTCAAACAATTATTGTTTAGCAAGGACATGTTAACTAGTGTTTTTTTTGGATAAAAAGAGTTTTCAAGAAATTGTGGAGAGCTTTCTAGCTTGCAGCGCCTGGCCTGTTCATACTAATAGTCACGATATATGTGATGATTGTAGATCGATCACAGTTTCTTCAGTCTCATCCGTTGACTATATTTATTCTGTAGCAAACAAAACCTTGTTGTATCCATCACTTTGCCATGAGCATTCAGCTCTGTTCTTACACATTGGAAAAACGTGTGTTGTATTGCAGAAACTAGAGTTCTCTTCTGGTGCTTGTGCTCTCAATCACCTCACTTATGTGTCTGGTTTGTGAGAGGTGAGAGGGGATGCAAAGCTGCAGGCTTTCCACATCCCATTTGTCAAACTCACCTTCGATGAGTTCTGAGAAAAAACTATATACTTTTGTTATGTATACGAAACCTTGCCACCAATGTTCAGCTTCGGTACCTCAATGTGGTTAGGGGCGTACAAATCAAAGTCGCAATGTAATGTTGTTCGGCTCATACGAGCAAAGGGGAATGACAAAGGTACTTGGTTTTTAATTCGCCGTTTCAAGAAAATGTTTGTGCAAAAACACAAAGAACCAAATGATTAGGGAGAACTGTATGAGGGCAGCTAGGGCAACTCTAGCAGATTTTGAAGCATATAGGCTTAGGTTCTAGCGACACAACGCAGATTAAGCAATGAGAATCACAATTAAAATATTGTTATTTACATTGCACAATATTCCTGCCATCCTCGAGAATGTTCAATCAC